TAGGGAGATGACATGGACAGTGATGTGTCAGCAAAGAAAGTAAGGATTTCAGGTCTTGAAAAGTGCTCTGAAGAAAACTGTACTGGTAATGGGAGAAGAAGAGATGCACTGGGGAAGAGCACTTCAGCAGGGAGATCAGGGAGGTGGCTTCTGGATGGACCTGAATGATGAGAAAGGGCCAGCTGTCAGGGGATCTAAGTGAAGAGCCAGTGCAAAGATCCTGAGGCAGGGCTGGTCTGGGGGACATAGAAGAATGGAGTGCTAGGAAACCCAGTGGATAATGGAAGGAGCAGTAGGAGAGGAAGTTGGATGTGTTGGAGGGACCGGTTAGATGAGACCCCACAGGCCCTCAGAAAAGTGACTTTATTCTACTTGCTGTGGGCAGTTATCAGAGTGTTTTAAGCTAGAGAGTGATTATACTGATTTGTCTTTTTTTTTTTTAAAGAGCATCTGGCAACTCTATGAAAACTAACTATGGGAAGTAACAGAAGAAGTAGAGACCAGACTGAGGTCTGTTGCAAAGTCTAGGGAGCAAGCTGGTACATTAATTTAGGGTTAAAGTCGTGCTAAAAGTGAGACATGCCAAGATTTGGGATATGTCTTGGATTGGCAGCTGGGTATATGAGTTGGGAATTCAGGAGAGAGATCAGAGCTACAGATTTAGGGGAAAAAAAAAACAGGAACATTTGATGTCACAGAAAGCCACGGAAAGGCAGTTTTTCTGAAAGGAAGCAGAGGTCAAGTGCAGAACATCACTGGAAGTGGTGTGAGATGATGGCAGAGATCTGATCCCTGGACCAGGCAGGATGTAGGTCCCCTCCACTGGCCTCCTTGCTCCTCTCGCCACCTCCCTGCAGTCTCGGCTCTACTGTCCTCCATGAGGACTGAGCCCCTCTGAGGGGCCCCTGAACGATTTCAATACTCACCGGCCAGCACTCCAGTGCCCCTCCCTGCCCTGCCGGCTTCATTTGTGCCATAGCCCTGATCGCCACTGACCATTCACCCTTACAGAGATTTGTCACGTATCGTCCTCCCCCAAGCTTGACGAGAAGCCCCGCAAAGGGCAAAGCACTTAGGCTGTGTGGCCCCCTGATGTACCCCAAGTGCCTGGAGCTGCTCCTGGCACGTGCAGGGGCTCAAGAGAAATCTGTTGACCAAACAGTGACTTGAAGATAAAGGCCCTGCAGCAAAGTGGCTTTCATCGTGTCCCTCTCGGGGTGAACACAAGTGAACTTATTATTATGTTTTTAATAACTTACTAACCAGAGGGGAGATAGAAGTCATATTTATTGCCATCTGCTTGATAATTATGAATTCTCATTTGATTCTACCACTGACCCCAGGCACAGAGAGGAGTATCCACTGAATGCACTTACTGATCAGCAAAGAATCTTCTGAGGTCACACACAGAGCCAGATCTGAACCTGGGTGTCTCAAGGCTTAGTCCACGAGGCCACAGGCATTCAAGGTGACTGTGGCCCCCTCCACAGCCTCAATGCTTCCCAGGGCGCTAACTTTTCTATAGGACATGTTAAGGGCAGTCCTTTAAAAACAGGCACAGGGACGAGCCTATTCTTGATGGTCCTTAACCAGCTCGGCCCTAGTGAGCCCGCCTCTGAGGCAGGTGCCTCCTGTATTTACAGCTGGTAAAGTCAGCGCCCCCACGCCCCCCACGCCCCGCCCCGCAGTCACATGGTGGCCCCACTCCCTCTTGCTGACTCTCTAATTAAACCAGCATCAGCATCTGTGCTTCTGATCTCTCCAGGAAGGAGGAGACCTGGGCCTGGCTGACAATGGGCCTCTTCCCGTTCCCACGTGCCCCTGGGGGCTCAGGTCCGCGCTCCAGCATCTCTCCAAAATATGACCGCGGACATGGCCGTGCCCCCGCTAGACTCAGCAGCTCTGATCCCCTTAGAATGTGAAACACATTGCAATCTCACAGAAGCATAAACTGGCCCCTTGCGTCAGCATTCAAGCCATGAAATTGGACTGTTAGTGGCACTTCCAGCCATGCGCGGGGCCTGGTGCCCTGCTGCTCTTAAAAGTTGCCTCATGGTGGGAAGAGATTCTGCAGAAACCATGAAGGAAGCTCTAATTTGGGGGGCAGGGTCAGTCATTTTCCAGCTGAGATTCAGAAGAGGCGTTCCAAGGGTTTGGACCCACAGCCAGTGGGCCCAGGATGGATCAGGCCTCTCCCAAAACCTGGGCTCCCTGGGCCCAGCAGAGCTGGACATCCAGTGACAGTCACAGCAGACATCAGGCTGACAATGTGTAGGTGCCATCTCCTTTAACCTCATGACAGTTTTATGAAGAGAGTAATGCTATTGTGCCCACTTTACAGAGGGGAAAACAAAGGCAGAGAAGATTCAGTAATTTGTCCAAGGTCACATTGTTAGAATGTGGCAAAGCTGGCATCCAAACCCAGGTCTTTCCAGCTCTAGGATTTGAACCTAGGAGGTTTGACTTTGGACTTGCAGCCTCACTTGTACTCTCTCTATGAAGGTCAGTGTCGTCTTCATTCATTTGTCCAATACTTATTTCCCAAGCACCTCCTGGGTGCCTGGCACCATGCTGAGCCCTGTGTGCCCCTCTGCTGTTTGGTAGCCCTGGAGAGCTAAACTGACGGTAATGGCATCTGGGGATTCGGCAGCGCATCTTGAAGGCACACGAGGGCCCCTGCCCGAGCCTTGGACAAGGGAATAGTAATCGCTCACGTCTGTTGACCACGTGCCCAGCTCTGTGCTAAGCCCTTTACGTGCAGGCTTCATTGGAATTCGGCAATTCTACCCAGTTGCCCGACTCACAGGGTGATTTTGATACTTCACTGAAATACACATGCTAAATGTTTGGCAATAATTGGAGCTACACAATGGTTAGTAATAAAATTTTTATGACGAAATATTCCAGAAACTCAAAAAAGTACAGAGAAGCACATAATGCAGGCTTCCTCCTAAACTATTTGTAGTTTGTGAAGTCAATTAAATAGACTGCAGGCAAGCATTTTTGAACAGACTGGAGCAGACTGGACTAGAATAGAATACACAGTGTCAGATATGGCTGGTGACAGCCTTGAGTGTGTGTGTAATTCATGAACGTTTCTGCAGGCCTTTGAGTATGTGTGTGTGTGCTCATGTGTGTGTGCATTCTGCATGTATAAAATGTCTTTTTTGCTGTAGATCAGGGTCAAAATATTTGAAAGTCACTGATAGAATAAACACTCATAAATTTGCTATTCAGATTTAAGAGCTATTAATATTTTGCCATATTTACTTCAGATTTTTTTCCAGTAAATAGCCTCATTTTAGGTAGAATTCAAACTGCTTTGCACACCCCTCCCTCTCTCCTTTATGCATCTTTCCTGAAGCTGGTGTGCGGCCACCAGCAGACATGCCTCTGATCAGTGATTCCACTAACTGGTCCAACCTCTCCTTGGTGAGCTAGGCTGAAGGCAGCCCAGGATCAGGGGAAAGACTGTCTCTGCCGGGAAGAGACGCTTTGATCACGCCCACTCCTTGAATTCTAACCCCAGGTCCTGTGTGTTTGGGAATGTTTAGGAAAACAATTTAAACATGTCAGGATAAGCACATGTCAGTGTTGACATTAGAGCCTAGAAATATGTAAACACACATCCTAGGACCGTACAAGGGCCGAGGGGTCTGGACCTCACACTGAAGAGCTATGTCTCTGACACTCCATCACCCCTTGTTTTCAGCAATGAGGAAACTGAGAGCTGGGGGAGGAGATGACCCTCCCCAGATGCTCTTACACAGACAGCGAGAAAGCTGGGATAAGAGAAAGGAAGGAAGGAAGGGGAGGAAAACAAACACCGTGTGCTTTCCCTCAGATGTGGAATATAGAAAACTAACAAGCAAACAAAATAAATGAACAAACCAAACCCAACAAAATACAAACACGTAGATACAGAGTAGTGGTTACAAGAGGGGGAGGGTGGGGAGAGGGCAAAATGGGTAAATGGGGTTCATTTCAGTTTCGTTCACTGACTCAAGTGTATGTGACAGGTGGAAACCGAATCTTTCCAGGTGAGCGCGGTTGGGTACACAGACATAGAACTACGATGGCACACATCAAACTTACATGATGTTATAAACCTGTTTCAGCTCAATTTAAAAAATAAATTTTAAAAAGAGAGAGTAAGGACGAGAGAAAAAGAAGAAAGAAGGGAAGAATTATTTCCATCTGGACACACATCCCCGGGGCTGCCGGCCTACCCTGACCGCCCTGTATAGGAGGGCCCTGCCCCGCGCCTCTCACCCTGCTCGGTTGCATAGCACGTCCTGGATGAACTGCACAACTATTTGCTTATTTTCCATTTCCGCCCACTTAGAGCGGAGGCCAGTGAAAGCAGGGAGCTCGATCGGGTCAGTGTGTTCAGGGCTGTTTCCCAGGCCTGGCGGGCACTTGGCCCTGGACCAACAGTGGGTCTGACAGTAGGAGAGGGTACAGAAAGCACCCCTACGATGAACGCTTGAGTCAGTGAATGAAACCGAAGCCGGGGCTCTTGACAAAACCAGATGACAAGTTGGTGGAGAAAGTCAAGGGCACGGAGCACTGAGACCGTGATCATCGTGGGGCAAAGGCTCGCCCTCACTGAGCACTCATGAAGTGCCAGGAGCCATCTTAGGCACCGCACATGTTAACCCTTCAAGTGCTCACCGCAGCCCTGCCTGGAGGGGCTCCACTGTGTCTGTTTTTGGTGGGGAGACAAAGGCCCAGAGAGGTACAGATGCTTGTTTAAGGTCACACAGCTGGAACCAGGCAGAGCTGGGATTCACCCCTAGATAGTCTGGCCCCAGCGCCCATGCCCCAGAGCCATCTTCTGCTGCCTCCCAGAGAGAAAATTCTAGACCAAGGGTTTGAGAGATAACTTGGGGCTTTCAGAATCTGGGTAATTTCTTTCTTTCTTTCCTTCCTTCCTTCCTTCCTTCCTTCCTTTTCCTTCCTTCCTTGCTTCCTTCCTTCCTTTCATTTTTTTTTTTAAGCAATTTGAGGAAAGTCAAGGCCGGACCAGCAGCAAAACGGCCTTCTACCAGGCGCTGCAGAATTCTCTGGGCGGTGAGGCGGCGGCCGCAGGCGTGCAGGCCGCGGCGACGTGGTACTACGGCCTGGAGCACTCCGCGGACGACTACGCCTCCTTCTCCCGCGCCCTGGAGGCGGCCGCGCGGTAAGCCGCCTCCCGCCGCGCCGCATCCACGGAGATGCTCAGGGGGTGCCCGCATCACCCGGGAGAACCCAGGGCCTGGTACTGGCACTTTCCTCTGCGTCGTTCATTCAGCCCACAGCGCAGCCTGAGTGCTCGCCAGCGGGAGACACGAGGGGTGACCCAACCCTCCCCACCCTTGGCGGGCCTCACACATCAGAGGGCGCCTGCTGTATTCGCCTGCTGTAAAAGCCCTGCGCGGAGAAGCTGCTCTCAGCAGGTGTTGATGGACAGCCCGTGGGGGACTCGGATCAGCAGAGAGGACCCCGGGTCCTCCATCCCAGGGGCCTCCGCCCCAGCTGTCGTGGAGAACCTCCTGGGAGCCCTCAGAGGGCAGCTAGAGCCCTGGCCCCATTAGCATCAGTGTTTTTCAAAGCTCCCCGGGGTGACTCTGCTGTGCGGCCAGAGTTCATCCTGCACAGGCAGCGGAGGCCTAGACGGGAAGGTTCATGCCTGAGACCACACCCCAAACAGGAGAAGACCTGGGCTCCTGACGCCAAGGAGCCCCTTCCCCGGGGTGCTGTTTCTGGGCTCACTGCTTATGTGTCTTGTTACTCAAGTTCATTGCTCTCTCGGAAGTCTGCCCCTGCCCCCCACCCCAAGAGCAGGTCACGGGTGGCCCCCACCCACTGCAGGCTCTGTAGGTCTGTCCCCAGAACGTCCCTCTTTCTCAGCACCATCCCCACCCAACTTCCTTTGTCAGGACTGGCCTGTCTCCAGCCATGGTGGGCTCACTGGGGCCAAAAACCTGGCTTTCTATGAGCATACAGCAGGTGCTCAAGAAATGGGTTTTGAATGGAATCAAGAAACAGCCCAGGACTCCAGTTCTCTCCGCCTGCAGAGCCCCCTGGGGGTGAGGCCACTGTGGGGACTCCAGCTCCTGTCACCTCGGAGCCCCTCGTGGGCCACTTGACATGTTCTGTTTCCCTGGCAGGGCCCCCGTCTGAGCAGGGAGGACATGGTCAGTGGTTTCTGCATCCTATAATTTCTCTCCTGTCTTCCAGGGTCCACGCTGGCCCTTGCTCTTTGTCCGTGGGGACAGAGCCAGTGTCAAGGCTCAGAGGCCTCTGCTGAACTTGACTCTGTTGGGAAGGGATGGACTGAAGGCTGCTGAGACCCACTGCCCTGCTTGGTCTCTCCACCCAGGAGTCTGTGGTTTCCAGTCAGGGTGCCACTAGCTCAGAATAAAACTTTGAACTGCCCACTGGGACCTTGGGACCAGGAAAGCTCTAATTTTCCCTCTAGGGAAAAGCTCAGTTTCAAACCAAATAGCCAACAGCCATTCCTGGAGGCCCAGCCCCAGGAACTCACAGATGTCCAAGTCCTAGACCCTGAGAGGCTCATAACCATGTTGAGACTGGCTCAGATCCATGTTCTAGAAAGAGCTCAGGGCTAGAGTTCAGAAACCTACCTTCGTTCTTGCCCCAACTTTGCCTTTAACTGTCTTTGAGGTCAATCTGTGAACAGGGACAAGAGCGGAGGTGTGAGGGAGGGCAGGTAACCAAGGAAGGCTTCTTTGAGGAGTCAGACTCCAGTCCTCCCTTAGCTCCGGCCCTCGTTACCTCCTCGCTAGACTGAGGCAACAACCTCCATGGGCCTCCCTGCCTCCAATCCCTCTGGCAGTGCCTGTCCCCAGCACTGCTGGGGTATGGCTTCCCATAGGTCTGCTCCCACCGCTGCCCTGCCCACCGCTCCTTGGGGGACCGTGAGATGAGGAGGGCTGCTTTCCTCTGCCCTGCCAGACCTTCCTGCTGGCCCCACCCTCTCTGAGAGCCTTTCCTGTAAGCACTGGAGCTGCCCTACAGACGGGCTAAAAATGCTGGCCTCAGTCGTCAGAGGAGAGCGTGGGCAGCCTTCCTTCACGATATCCTCGGAGTCTCAGCAGAGTTCTCAGCTGAGGAGATGGAGACTCAGGGAGACGCTGGGATGCTGAGTGGGAAGGCCGGGTGGGTCCGAGGCCAGGCAACATCTGCCCGGTTCTGGTCAGGCCCGCCGGCCTCCTGGGCACTCAGCTTGTGGAGGGCCATACGCAGGACCCTGCCACTGAGAGTGGGCGCCTCTGAGATTCATTCCCATCCCCTCAAAGGGGGAGTGAACGGGAAACTGTGGGACTCTGAAGCAGGGTTCTTGCCCCCTCACTATGGACATCTTGGACTGCGTCATTTTTTGCCGTAGGGTCTGTCCTGTGCATCGTAGGGCTGTGTGTAGCTAGACCCCCTTATCTGTCCTTTCTTCCACAGGGACTACTTTATCATCTGCCCCGTGATCGACATGGCCAGCCACTGGGCCAGGAAGGCCTGGGGAAACGTCTTCATGTACCACGCTCCTGAAAGCTATGGCCACAGCAGGTAAGCTGGCTTTGTGGCCACAGTGGGGGTTGGCACATGAAGGGAATCTGGCAGAGGACCCCTGTCACTTCTGTGACCCACAGAAAAGCAGAGAAAAGAGCGTAGGACTGCCATACAAGTCCTGGTTCAGTGATATGGGATACCTCTCTTAACTTAGTTTTAAGGCTCAGTTTTCTCATCTGAAAAATGGGCAGAACATTCATCACCGATTTATCTTGCAGTACTGTAAGAAGGGCAGGTGAAATACAAGACATAGAAAGCAGTTTGGAATTGCAGCATTGGCTGTTCTTGACTGACCTGGCTTGGGGGAGGAGCAGTCTTCATTAACCTGACATGTTTATGTCTCTAAAAGCAGAGCACTTGGCTTAACTCAAGAAAATCACTTTCTAAAGTACAAAAAGTTTTTTTTTTTGCAACCAAAGGAAAATTTTGTTTATTCCTAATTTAAATTCTTACTTCCAGAAAAGGTTCAATGTACCTTATGAGAAGAGTCTCAAATGTAATAAAATTATCAAAATGGAAAAGAGAAATAAGAGGTACAAACAAATCAAAACTGATGATGAAGGAAGGGGCAACCGACGGGCACAGAGTGTAGCCGCGAGTTTCCGCGAGTCAGGAAGAGATTAAGAAGTCAACAAGGAAAGGGCAAAGCTTTGGTTTTCATGGCTCCGTCAGCTAAACAAAGAGCAGAGAGGAGTGGGGGCAGGGGACACATTTGGTCTCGGCCAGTGGGAGACAATGTGACCAGGGTCGCTGGGGCACATGGCATCCAGGGCACTGGAGGCAGGACTGTGGGACCATCTGTTCTACTTCTTCACGACCTTACAGCCCTGAGCCGTTCATCTGGGCTGGAAAACCACAAATCCCTTCCCGGAGGGGCCAGAACCTTCCCACGTTACCTGATGTGATTCCCATAAATGACATCAGATCAGCCACTTCACATTGGAGCCCCTTTGGGAAGACCTAATACTCCACTCAGAGCCTGGAGGAGTGTTGTCTGGGTGCTCCAGTAGCACCCACAGATAGTAGAATGTCAGGGGGTCAGGTCTCTTAAAGATACTGGAATATGGTTGCTCCAATTCATACGAGAGTGGGAGCCAGGCCTGCCATGTGAAGCAAGGAGAGCCATTACCCACGTCCCTGGTCTGTTTAATGGGCAGCAGGGAGATGGGATATGAGAAAGCCAACTTGAGAGCTGAAGGTGGAGCTTGCCACTGCCTGCCAGCTGTGCAACCTTGGGCAGGTTGCTTTGCCTCTCTGATCATCATTTTCCTTATCTACCAAATAAGGCTTATTGTTTCCTCTCACCGGGTTGGTATTGGTAATAGCTGAGACATAAATGATTCCATTTAACCAGTGTTGCTTTGCAACAACATCAAAGAAAGTCTTACAAACATGCACAATTTCTCATTGTAATTGGCAACATCCAGCAGGCTGAATAATGGCCACCTAAAGATCCCAGGTCCTAACCGCTGGAAGCTGGAAATGTCATCTTCTAAGGAAAGGGGGGCTTGCAGATGTGATTAAGTTAAGGATCTTGATGTGGGAAAACTATCCTGAATTAGCCCAGTAAGTCCTAAATGCATTCACAAGTGTCCTTATAAGAAAGAGGTGGAGGGAGATCTGCCATACATAGAGGAAGAGCAGGCAGTGTGACCGGGGAGGCAGAGATTTGAGTGGTGTACTCGCAAGCCAAGAAATACCAGTGTCCCCCAGAGCTGGGGGAGTGAGAAGGGGCTGCTCCCCTGGAGCCTCCTGAGGGAGGGTGGCCCTGCCAACACCTGGAGTTTGGCTCAGTGAAACTGGTTTTGAACTGGTCTCCAGAACCAGGACACAGTAAATTTCTGTTGTTTTAAGCCACCAAAGTTTGTGGAAATTTGTTACAGCACCCACAAGAAACTAATACGGTCCCAAGACATTCTAGTTTCCCTGAGCAAGCACTCATTTTTTTAACCTGGTTTTCCCTGTTAGGTATTCAATTTCTAGCACCACAAAACATCCACAACCTCTGTGAGGTCAGCGGTGTTGAAATGACTATCTCTGTTTTACAGATAAAGAGTCTGAGGGTCAAGGGTTCCACATAGTCTCCCCAGGGACAGGTAGTGGCCAGTTAGAGAGCAGTGACCTACTCAGAGCTTCTCGGAGTCCCAGAATTCTCTTCCCACCAAAGCCTGTGGTCTCTCTGCTTAGAACTATTTATAATTTCAACCTGCTTGACTTCCTAGATTCAAGCAACTGCCTCCAGGTTGTGGGAAGGAAAGTGAATGCCAGGGTAGGGCTCTGGTAAGAAGGTATTCGGG